GGGCGGGCTGGTGCACGCAGGGGCTGCCTGTACCCATGCTGTTTCAATTGTCCTCTGTGTTACCATAGCTTTCAGCGTATAAAACAGCTCTGCCTCTAGAATCAGAGGTGCTCTGGCTACGCCGCTGCCTCCTGTGAAGGCAGAGTCAGGCCCCACTTTTCTGTTGCCAGTGAGTGCTGCTGGGTTTGGCCAGGGGTTGGGCCAGTCCGTGTCGCCCTGCACCCCACCAGCCCTGAGCAGGATCCCAGGAAAAACAAGGGGCAGAGGCAGGAGCTCTGCCCCGCATTGCCCCTTGCCTGGCACAGAGGCCTGGCTCTCCTGCTCGCAGCGCACTCTGGTGAGCCAGGACACGTTCCTGGCCGCGCAGGAGTTGACTTCATCTCAGGCTGGGCAGCTCTGGGAGCCCCCAGGCCAGCGCTGTGACACCACAGCTGCTCTCAGCACTCAGCCCTGGGTGGGGGCTTTGGAGGTGTGAGGGTGAGGGCACGGTGGCGGCTCGTTGTCTCACCCAACCTTTCTTCCTCCCTGCAGCCCAGCTACTGGCTCCCCAGTTCCTGACGTCTCGGCTGCTGGTGAGTAGTGGGGCCCTGGGAGAGAGTTTCTCTGGCCAGGGGTGGTGGGAGAGCCTGGGTCACAGTTGAGGCCAGTGCTGGCACCCCTGCGGAGGAGGCAGCGTGCCCGAGACTGACCGAGACTGTGGGGGATCCCACTCCTTTCTTGGGACTGCAGCACTCCGGGTGAAGCCATCGGCTGCCCACTGCATCCGAGCTCCCTCCCTCCCTCCCTCCCTGGAGGAGCTGTGGCTCTGGGGGCAGGAGTGACCCTTCTCTCCTGCCCTCACCTAGCTGGTGGCAGCAGCTTCTTCTGGAAACAGCAAATGCGTCGTCGCTGCCTTGCAGCTGCTGCAGACCCTCCCCGACAGGATCCACAGAGCCTTGGGGGCGGCGTGGGTGACCGAGATCCCCCTCCTGCTGCAGTACCTGGAAGGTAAAGTGCGGGTGGGGAGGGAGGTTGGAGGGGAGGGAGGGAGCGAGGCAGAGAAGTGCAGGTTCCCTACATGAAGGAGGAGAATTTTCCCCAGTTCCCTGGCCCTTGCTGTGCTGCCTTTCCCCTTTCAGGGAGCCAGCAGGGAGTCTGGGTGCAGCTGTCCCCCAACATCAGTTCCTCCCAGGGGATGAATGGGGCCGTTGGTGTCCCTTGGATGGCAGGTCTTGGTGTCACCCCCATGTCCTGGGCAGGATGGTGTCTGAAACAGGGATGGGCCTGGTGCTCCTGGAGGGGATGCAGCCATGGGCTTTGGAGGACCAAGTCCCCAGGCCAGGACAGGTTTGCAGCAGCCGTCCTTGGCAGTAGCCTGGGAGAAGGGCTGCAAATGGGTAGAAAGCAGTGAGCTATTATGGAGAAAATGTGTGTGGCTGGTGCATGCTGTGACTCAGTGGTTGGAATTGTTCTGGGAACTGTAGTCCGGCAGCAAGGATCAGCTGCGTTCAGTGTGTCCTTCCCCAGCTGGAATCAGTGGCTCTGACATATGCCTCTGGGATCCCTTTGTCTTTGTCTTGCAAGGTGCTTGTAGGCCCTTTCTAGCCTGATGGCCTGGGGCTTTTGGGAGGTCTGATTGCAGAAGAGACCACTGGGTTTGCATTTGGTGTGAGCTTGAATAGCAGCGAGAGCTTTTGCTTCCTCTTTCTTTCTAGGAAGAAGAGAGAGCTCCCTGGACTCTGCAGAGTGGGAGCACCGTGTGCTTAAGGTACCTGCTTGGGGGGATGTCACAGGTAGAGGGAGAGAAGAGGGAGCAGACAAAGTTGTGGGAGGAAGCTGGGGCTGCCCGTGCAGGCACCAGGAGGTGGGGGCAGCTCCTGAGTACCCTGCGCCTCCCCCCACAGCAGGTGCCCTCCCGCTCAGAGGAGCTGCTGCCTGCCCTCCTGCCACGGCTGATGGCTAATGCCCTCGAACGCTGTGGCACACGCCTTAGCACTGCCTCCTCTTCTCTGTCCGGCATGCCGGGGGTCTGGCCTGAGGTGTTAGGAGAAGAGGGAAGCTGCTGAAAAGAGGGTTGGGTGGGGTGGGGGAAGAGACAGCTGTTCCGCGCAGATCTCCCCCAGCAGCGTCCTGGGACACACGAGCGTGGAAACCACCCTGGCCAGGGGCAGAACAACACTCACTTCCTCTCCTGTTCACTCCAGTTCCTGCAAGCGTCGCTGGAGCCCATCGAGGACCAGACCTGGACCGTGGGCCTGAGCCAGGCACTGAGCCAGCAGCTGGTCAGCTCTGCCTCCGGCTCCTGGGAGAAGGTGTGTCTCCTATCCTGCGCCAGGGCTGGGGCTGGTGCCAGGGTTCTGCTGACACAGGCAGTTTCCACGGCTTCCCCTTCCTCGCCCCAAAAGGCGCTTCCCCCTGGGTTGTCCCAGCGACTGGCCACAGCCTGGCACCACGACCGGCCTCGCCTGCTCCCGGGGACAGTCGGATGTGTCTGGGGCCAGCCCTCTCCTGACAGGTCGAGCTGTGACCACATCTCGGGCTGGGGCTCTTCTCTTTCAGCTTTTCCTTTACAAGGCTCTGGGGACAACGCTGGCAGCTTGTCGGGACCTCAGACATGTCCAAGGGCAGGTGCTGAGGTTCCTCCAGGAGACAAACCCTATGGAGCTCTCTGAGGCACAGGTGAGGTGTTGCTCATGTTTCCTGGGGGAGACGGAGGCTGCTCCTGAGCTCCTTGATTTCCCCATTGTTGCCGTTTCCCCCTTGCTGCAACATCCTGCCTGGCCCTTGTCACTGCCATGACTGAGTGCCTGGGCTGGAGCCAACTCCCCATTTCTCTGTGGTTGCAGGGAATGGTTTCCGTTGTGTCCCACGCTGCCGAGAGCCACTTCGATCTGGTCTTGGACACAGTGACCACGTTCTCGGCTGATTTGATCAGAGATGGGTTCTGTAAGACTTCCACGGGCTGGAAGGTAAAGGATCCAGGGTTTTGCTGTCTGGCTTTCGTTTTTTGGCCTTCTTTCCACTTCTACACCTGCAGCAGCCCAATAGTGGCAGCTGCATTTAGATTAGGCCTCTTGTAAGAGCTACCCAAGACCGGTGTTCCAGAGGGGACGTCCTGGCATTGGGGCCCCTGAGGTGTCTTTGGAAGGGCCGGGGGGTGACAGTGGGTGGATCAGAGCTGCCCAGCCAGGGCAGATGCAGCGGTCACTTGCTTGCAGCTCCTTTGCCTGTGACTAAACTTCAGCAGGAGCTGGCGACAGGGGTTGGGTATGGCGTGCTGTCTGCCTCTTCCTCAAAGCTGGAGCAAGGGAGCAGGATCCTGGTGAGGTCTCGCTGGCTCTGCTCCCCACCCGGGGGCTGTGAGGAAGCCTTTCTGGGCAGGGCAGGGCCCTGCAGAGAGACTGGTGCAGCCTGGCCTGGGAGGTGAGGAGCTGGGGCTCACCTGCACCACTGACCCGCACAGGCTGCGCGTCTCTGAGCAGGACCATGACAGGCTGTGTCTGGTACCTTTCCACAGAAAAGTTCCAGACAGCTCCCTGACCTCTCCAATCAGGGTTCAAACAGCCAGCAGTGTGTGCAGTGCTGGCTGCACCTCCTCCCCATCCCCATGTGAGAACCCAAGCTGCGGAGTGGGAACACCTCCCAGCCCCCCAGAGCTCGCAGCTCGAGGAGTGGCGTGGGGAGCTGCTGGGAGGTGCCCAGGGAAGCAAGGATCTGGTGAGGTGGTGGGGCAGGGCTGCTGCAGGAGCCCGCAGGAGTCCCAGAGTGATGTTTCTGTTGACACAGGTACAGCGGTGGCAGAAGATGGAGAATGCCCAGGCCATCTGCGCTGCTCTGATGCGCACCTACAGCGGCGTTGCGCTGCATGCCCCCAAGGAGCAGCTGCTCAGGCGTGTGGATAAAGAAATCCTGGGCAACATCCTGCAGCTCTCCAGAGCTGAGCAGAGGGTAAGAGCACAGGGCGTGCGGGGCAGGGATGCCTGGGTGACCCATCTCCAGCCCCTCGGGCATTTGATGTACCGAGCGGGATGGTCTTTATCTAAAGATCTTCCAAGGACGGATATGTCCTCAATGTCCACATCTGACCCCTGCCATGGGCTCCCCCTGCCCATGCTCCTCTTCCACTGCTCAGCCCTTCAAAGAGTTCAAGGGGCGCTTTTCTCTTTGTGGCCTCAGGACTCGCCGCTCAAGCTGGCCCTGGTGGAGAGCATCACCGAGGTCAGCTGTGCCATCCAGGCTGTGGGCAAATGTGAAAGCTTTGAGCTTTCCTTAAAGCAGGAGGCAATGCAGACCCTTCTGGTAAGTGCCTGTAGCCGGGGCGGTCACGCGGGGGAGTTCTGGGCTGCGCCATCAGACTGGCAGCACAACAGCCTCTGGGCTTCACGGGAGCTCCTGGACCTGTGTCCTGAGCTGGCAGGGCCCTTGGGTGCTGGTGCTGGGTGGCTGTGGCTAAGGAGCAGGGTCCCTCCCGTGGTGCCTTTGGGGCCCTGTGGGGGTGCTGGGGCAGTGCCTGCCCAGGCCTGGCAGCAGAGCCTGTCCCTGGGGGAAGCGGGAGGGCTGTCCCATGTCTCTGCCCACTGCCAACTCTGCCCTTGTCTCTCTGGGACGTGCAGGACTGGATAAAGGGGGAGCCCAGGGACTCCGTGGATTTTGGAGTGTTTCACGTCCTGGAGGAGTTGAGGTGAGCTCTGTTCCCCGGGCTCTGGGGACCCCCAGTGTGCCCCAGCCCAGCTGTCTGGGGCAGCCCCAGTGGCCTTGAGCATGGGGCCAGGAGGTGCTGGGGCTGTGGGGTGGGAGGGTGCTCCCCAGTTTGGGTGTGTCCCAAATGAAGGGAGCCTCGGGGAGTTGGGGTGTGCCTACCGGGAGGGAGGCAGGAGTTGCTGGAGCTGAAGGCAGTGCTCTCTGGCAGGGGCTGGGTCCTCAATTAGGACACCAGTTGTGGTTTAAGGCACTCTGGAGAGGGCTATTAACTCCCCTTTCTGTTTTCTCTCCCTTTCTCCTCTGTCCAGCAAGCTGAGGCCACCTCTGAGCAGGGAAGAAAATTGCAACCTGCTGTCAGTGTGCTGCCAGAGTGCCTTGTCCTATCCCTGCGAGGAGCAGAAGGAAAAGGGAAGGGAGGGAGCGAGGGCAGCTGAGAACGTGCAGGTACGCAGCGGCCAGTGCCTGCCCACCTCTGGGTCAGGATCCCAGCTCAGTGCGCCCTGGCAGCCCCCATGATGCAGACCCTCAGCTCTCCTTTCCTGCTTTTAGATGCTGCACAGGAGGAACATGGAAGATCTGGGCCACCTCATAGAAACTCTTCTGGAGACGGAGGCGACCTCTGTCTGCCTTGATGACGTGGTCCTTGTGAGTAGCGGCGGGGCAACAGGGGAAGTGTTGTGGGGGCAGAGAATCGAGGCCAAGGGGGGACAGCATTGGGACACCTTTCCTGTGGAAACTGGGGCTTTGGCTCCTCGCTGCAAGGCTGTTTGTCTGGCTGTGGCCAGCGGCTGAGTGTGGGGCCAGGAGTGCCCACCCGGCCACTGCAGCCTCAGGACATGCAGAGAAGTGGGCCCTGATGGAGGGAAAGCCAAGAGCCAGCCCTGAGCTGGGTGAGAGCAGCCTGGGGGAAGGCTGGAGTGTGGAGACACTGGCAGGGCAGCAACACCTGGCTCAGGGCAGAGGCAGCTGGAGAGAGCGGGGTGGTGAGGGCTGCAGTGGCAGTGCTTGGTGGGGCCAGGGGCTGTGCAGGGAAGGGGCCAGAGAAGGAGGGAGAGGGATCTCAGGGAGAGAAAGAATTCTGTTGTGAGAGAGATGCACCTTGCCCCAGGTCCTGAAGGGCTGGCTCACCTCAGCCAAAGAATGGGAGCGGGAGAGAGCCCTGTGGGTCTGCGGCCATGTGCTGGGCACCTGCAAGGAGCGATGTGAGCTGCAGGTGAGTAGGCACCCCACGTGCCCTGTGTCCCATTGCCAGCATTCCTGTCCCTGGAAGGGAGCCCCGCCCAGCTGGGTGCAAGGTTTCGGGGCTCCTGGGATTCTGGGACAGCCCTTCTGCCTGCCCCTCTGCCCAGTTGCTGTTCCGGAAGCAGGATGGGCTGTAGAGGCAAGCAGTTGCTGGGGCTGCCTGCAACCCGTTTTCCTGCTGCTCTCCCCTGCAGAGAGGCGGTCCCTGCAAGCAGCTGGGCTCCCTGATGGGACTGCTGGTGTTCCTGACCACCGACGACCTGGCCATATCCCGCTGGAGGGCAGGGGTCTGCCTTGGCTACCTTCTGCAAATGCAAGGTGAGGAAAGCGGGCGCTTCCCAGCCTCGCTCAGCCTGATCCTCCCTCCCTTCCTGGCCTGGTGCCACAGGGGTGCCACGGGGCCAGGCCCTGTCCCCAGGAGGGAAAGTGGAGGCAACATGCTTGACTGGTTTTGTGCTCCCACCCTGTTAACCCTCGGCCTCCCTGGCCAACTCCGGAAGGATCTCGGGGAGAGGGTTGCGGAGTCCCACCTCCACAGGGTGTGAGTGAGGCTGGGTGGTCAGGGCCATCCCTTGCTGCTGTCTGAGAGCAGGACATCATCACTGATGCTGGGGACTGCTGCCCTCCATGCCATCTCTTCGGGCAGCAGGGTCTGCCTGTGCTGAGGAAGTCACGGGGAGGTCTCCTGCCTCCCAGAGATGGTGGTGGTCTGTGTGGGAATAGGGGATGCAGCTGTGAGGAGCAGAGGCTGCTGAAACCCTGAAGCCCCAGCAAACGGATCAAGGAGGAAGAAGGATCTTTCCAGCCCAGAATTTGTCAGCCATTCATCAGGCTCGGGAAATCCTGCTGCCCTGAGTTCAGCAGGGCCCTGGGTTTCCCTGTGGCCTTCACTGCCACCACTTGGGTTTTCTTTTATTGGTATGTGGGACCAGGGGTTGGGCTTCTGTAGATGTGACTTTTCTTTTCTCTTGGTGTTTGTTCCAGCCAAGACCATGAACATGGTGCCTCAGGCAGATGAGATTGGGAGCCTCTGTGAGAAGCTGAACAGCCCCGACACCGAGACTGTGTTTGAGGCCTGCACCAAAATAGGAAAGGTAACTGGCCCCAAAACAGTGGGGTGGGGGCCAGCGCCCGGGCTCCTGCATGTCTCCCTGCTCCCCTGCAGAGAGTCTCTCTGTCTCCAGAGTGAGCTGCCAAGACAGGGGGTGTTAGCAAGTAGCTTTGGCTTCTGGCTTTTCACTGAGCTAAGAGTGTCCTTTAGGCACGCTGGGGCAAATACCGTGATGTGTGTGTTTGTGCACACATCTGTGTATGAGTGCTCTTGTCAGAATACACATTTGGTATATAAGCAAACCCCGTGGGGGAGACACTTCCAAGCGGGTGAGCTGTGTCAGAGGTAAACGGCACTGCATGCCCAGCAGGAGGGTCAAGGGATTGCCCCCTGCGTGACTGCTGAGCTAACAGTCCTGCCAAGTTCCCTTTCCTTTCTGAAATGCGGGAGCAGAGCTGTGACACGGTCTCTCCTGTTCCTGACTTGTTTCCAGGCTGTTTGGAAATGCATCCCCCCAGCACAGGCTACAGACTTTCTGACTGCCATCCTGGACAACTTGCGGCATGTCACACCCGTACGTGCAAGAGTGTTGTGGAAGTGGGTGTTTGCCTTCCTGGAGGAATGCAGAAAGGAAATACTCCAGGAGGTAAAGGGGACCTTTTTCTCCATTTGACTTTGTCTTTTCTCCTGCTGGCTGTTGCACTACACCCCGCGCAGCTGGCAGGGGCTGAAGAAACGCCGCCAGTGTGCTGAGCCCAGGGGCTACTGCTGGTCAGAGTCGTGCGTCGGCACCTGCTGCTGGCGTCTGCCCCAGCTTGTGATCCGAGGATACGGGCGCTTGTCCAAAGTCTCCTGCTGGCCCAGGTCCTTCCCATGAGTGAGGCCCTGGGAGGTACCAACCTTGCTGTTCCTGCCCTTCCTCCGGGGACAATCCCAGTGCTCCCTGCCCTGGGACCCACTTCACCCTGCTCTTTTTCAGGGGTCCCCAGTTCCATCTCCTGTGAGCTGTGCTGGGCACGCTAGCTTTGGCACGGTTTGGACACATGTTCCTTGCTCTCGCTGCTTTCCCTGGCTGTGGTGTTACCCAGCCTGCAAGGGGCTCTTCCTTTAGCCCCCCAGTTGCTGCCCCTTTGTAGCCTGGCAGCCTCTGGCCTTGAGCTGTGCCTGGCCAGGCTCCTGTCCTCCTCCTCCGCTCGCACTCGGCTGCGCTCCACTCAGGCTTGAGGGCCACCAGTGGCTCATGCAGCCCAGGCTGCCTCTGTGGCAGTCCGCTGCCGACAGGACGTCAGTCACAGGGTAGGCAGCCGTTATAGAAGCTGGGCTCTTCCTCAGGACGAGGGACATGGCTGTCTCTTTGTCCTTACCATGGCCATGACTTCTAACTGCAAAAGGCTCAGACAAACACCCCTTTCCTTCGGGGACAGATCCTCTGTGTAGGGAAGGGGTTGGTACTTTAGGAAAGGAGATTAGAGACAAGGAAAACTGTCCCTGAAGAACTGGGTTCCTCTGGAAGTGGTCACGTGCCCTTGCAGAGGCCCTGCAAGGTACCTTCAGGGTCTTGAAGAACGTGTTTGGTTTTGGTCTTCCATCGCTACAGACACATGGGGAGGGTTACTCAAGCGCTGGGTGTGAAAAGTGTCCCTGCCCTCTGCGTGCACACAGGGCACGCAGCTGCTCCCGCAGTTGGGCCCAGGCACATACAGTGACTGAGGCTGCGCCTGTGAGTGCCTGTGTGCGTGCGTATGAGCGTGTGCGTGTGTGTATGTGTGCGGACGATTGCCAAGAGCACACTCGGCTCCAGACGTGGGTCAGGGTCAGGCAGGGTGGGAGGGCGGAGGTTTCAAGCTGGGTCTGGACTCTGTGTGGCAGGAGCGGGCGTTGCTCATGTGTTGAGTGACTGTGTCTGGGCCCTGCAGGACGAGGTAGAGGATGCACTGAGCCCTTCTCTCTCCCCTTCTTCCATCCAGGTGCCCCAAATCCTGAACACCCTTTGCACCTACATGCAGCAGAGCACTCAGAGGCCCTTCCTGCTCCGTGCAGTGTTTCTCCTTGCCCAGTTTCACTGGGAACCCGTGGTCAGCAGTCTGGTCCAGAAAGGTCTGCCCCTGAACAGGTACGTGCACTACCCGCTTCCCCGCTGTAGTCAACCAGTGACCCTGCAGCTTGCTGGCACTTGGGGTCCGGTTGAGAAGTAGTTTTTTTTTCTTCTGCCTGAACACATTGACTGCGTGCCTGTGTCTGCCGTGAGTGGGGTGTAATCCCCACTGCAGATGAGGAGGTTTGTGGGCACTGCAGGACTGCGAGAATACGGGCTCAGGGGTGAATGTCTCTTCCCTTGCAGTGACACGATAAAGGTGTGGAGGAGTCTGGGGGCAAACATCTTTGGGAGTCAGATCCTGAGGTGCTTAGTGGAGAAGCTGAGCAGAGTGGGAAATGAACCCCTGGGGACTGACTCCTCCGCTTGTGAAGGGCACAGCCCTCAGACCGCTCTGGAGAGTACAACGGTACGTTCAACAGCAGAAGCGTTTCTGCAGCTTTGCATCTGCTTTCTAGCTCAGACTTGGGACAAGGGTGCCCTTTGCCAGTGGAGACTCTCAGGGTGCTGGGCTGGGCTGGCCTCAAGGAAAGTGGGGAGTCAGAACAGTTTTGTGCTCCTGAGACCCAAGGCTGTTGCAGAAGTGAGAACCACAGAGAGTAACCCCCCAGCCCAGGCAGGCGGGGGAACCGGGCTGGTGGGAAAAGGCCTTGCCTGAACACGTGGTTCTTGGTCATGTTTCCCTGCAGATCACCTGTGCCATCTCCAAGGTGGTGCTTGCCCTGAGGAGCACGGAGGAGCTCAGGCAACTGCTTCCCCACCTCCTTCCTGGCCTTCTAAGGTGGGCCAGTGAAACGCTGGGCGAGGAGAGGCTGCATTCCCGAAGGAGCAGCTATAGACAACTGTACCGCGAGGGCCGGGTGCTTGAGGAGAAGCCGTGCAGGTAAGGAGTGAAGGGGCAGATGGAGGGGCTGGCTTCAAGTTCCCCTGGCCAAGACAGGTGCCTTTGTGGGTCTGAGGGATTGCTTTGCCTGCCCCGCTTCCTAGAGTTGGAAACAGGTTGTTGCTGTTGGTTTTACTTCTGCTCCTCCATGGAGAAACTCCAGCTCCCAGGCAGGAAGGTCTTTGCGCAGCTCTTGCTGCGCACGGCTGTCGTCTCTCCCCCTGCATACCCTTGCATGCACAACAGCATTGCACTCCCTCGACGGTCCTCGCTGCGAGCAGCGACTCTCGTGGGCACTGGTGTCATTCTTTGCAAAATGCGGGTGGGAAGAGGTATTAGGTGATGCCTTGGTTGTTTTCTATCATGGAGTCAGTCTTGGGCTGTGGGTTTTCTTCTGCTTCAGAGGGTTTGGGGTGTGAAGAAAATGCCAGTCTTGGTAGCTGCAGTCTTGAAGGCTGTGAAGCATCCTTCAGGGGTACTGAGCTCTGCTAAAGATAGGTCTTCCCCTAAGCTGCTGTGATTTGAGATGTCTTTGGGTTTGTGCTGTTGCTGTTGTTCGGGTCTGTTTTGTTTGACTGTGTGTGTTGATGTTGTGGGTTTTGTTTCTTTTGCCAGGATTTTCCTTTCAGCCATGAAGCTGGTGCTAGGCAGATGCATGGAGCACAAATGGGTGTGGCTGCTCAGGCGCTGGGGAGTGTGGGCTCTCCTGGAAGACCCCGTGGCTCACCCTGAGGGTGTGAGTCTCCTGAGCAGGTGAGAGCCCCAGGGGTGCATCTGGCCGACTCCTGCAGGGCTGTGCCCAGGGAAATGGCTGCCGGGACCCTTCCGGCGTGCCTGGGAAGCCGTCCTGAGCTGAATAGCATCTGCGTCGGGGAAAGGGCACGTTGGAGACCCGGCCTGTGACCTCCCTGGGTAAATGTGTGTCCCTCGCTTGTGTCCCCTGTGCAGAGTCCTGGTCTGCGCTGGGCTGGACTCCCCCGCTCTGGTGGAGAACCTCGTGCTGTGGCTGGATTCCTCCTCGGTTCAACTGCGGGTGACAGCTGCAGCTTTCCTTGCTGAGGTAAGGCGGGAGAAGGGGAAGAAAGGTCCAGAGAGTTTTTCCTGAGGTACTGCTGCTTGGGATGTCTTCTTTTGTGGGAAGATCCCTGGAGAATGAGTCTCAGGAGCAGGGTGGCCAGGGGAGCACCTGGCCAGGACCAGGTCCCCACGGTGCTGCCTGTGTTGTTCCAGATCTCTCCGGACTGCAGGATGCCAGGGACCTTCGAGGGGGGCTGGCACTAGAGTGCCTCCAGGATACCTGCCCCCAGCCAGCACCAATGAGTTCATTAAAGCTCGTTACAAGAGGCCTAAAGAGGGGCGTATCACTTTTTTCCCTGATGGCACCTTCGTGGTTGGCGAGAACACATGCAGGTGACACCGAGGCGGGGGCTGCCAGCTGTGGGGCCCCTCTCAGACCTTCCCAGGCTGGGAAAAAGGAGTCGTGCCGGGAGAGACCCCAGCGCAGGCCTCTCCCCATGGGGTCCCGGGGCCTTGCCATGCCCTCCCGCTGCCCGTGGGGATCCCCGTGCCACCCCGGCCACGGCGTGACCCCCTCCAGCGCCAGCCAGGGCTGGTGAAGGGAACAGCCCAGCACAGCCCCGACCGTGTCGGCACAGCAGGCTTTGCCCTCCTGTGTCCTGTCATGCGTGACCCACCCCCAGCAGTGCCCAGTGACACTGTGGGGGTGCAGCAGGGGAAAAGGGGGACACTGTGGGGAGCATGGAGCACTGGGGGATGGGGAGGGAACTGAGGGTGTCACCAGAGGTCACGGTGGTGTGGGCAGGGGGCAGAAGAGGGGCACTGGGGGATAGGGGGAGAATGTCGGGGGGAACCTTAAAAGGTCAGCAGTAGCCGAGGGGCTGAGCAGAGGTTCGGAGTGCAGCAGAGGCTTCTGGCTGACCCGCTGGACCCCTGCCCATCACCCCAGGCCCCACTGGTATTGTTCCTCACCCCCAAGGGTGAAACAAGGACATGAGTCCCCAATTAGTGACTTCCTTTCAAACTGAAAAGTCTTCCTTGTGCACCCTGGCACCTGATTTCATTAAAAGGGAAAAAGGGGAGCAGATAGACACAAAAAGCAGCTGTCAGCTGCCAACCACTCTCCCCATCCAACTCCATCCCTCTCCCCACTGTGGCAGAGACACAACTGGCTCTCCTGGAGGACCACAATGCCAGCAGGAGAAAAGGAAGATTTCAGTTGGGCAATAAACAGCAGGAGCAGATGAAATCTTGGTAAATAAGAGTTCCTTTGTCAGGAAGAAATTAATCTGCAATCAGGAAGAACAACACATGAGGACTGTGCCACGTCCAGGACCATCCTGTCTCTGCAAACAGTGAGAGGCGGTGTGCTGGCTGGAACAGCCACGATAGCTCAAGCCTCTCCAGTACGTCTCTGCCTCCAGGCACCAGCAAACCCAGCAGCAAAGTCCCGGTATATGAGCTGGGATCCCCAGCAGGACCTGCAGGAATCACACTCCTTATCTCACAGCCTCTAGTTCAGATATTCAAGGAGTCTTGGAAGCCTCAGCAGACCCAGGCGATGTCCTGTAAGCAAGAGCATACGAGAAGGTACTTAGATCCACCAGTGTTCCTTTCAAGGCGTTTGCTTCATTTCAATCCCCAGAGCATCCCCCGTGTGCTCCACCACAGAGACAGCCCTGAGACTTTCCCTCACAAAACTGCACAGGGACTCCCGAGCATCCCAGCTGGTGCCTTCAGCCCTCAGCATTCTCTATGTCTGAAGAAAAACAGAGCAGGGCAAGTAAAATCATGCCCAGGCACCAGGACCTTCTAGAGGCATCCGTCAGCTGAACTTCTGACTGAGAAACAAGTATCTAGGGTTTCTCTTAACACAGCCTCAAGGCACATCCCTTCTTTTAACCCTCCCTGCCTGCTGCTCCTACCTTTTTCATCAGGAACTGGATGCTAATTTCTCCCAGACAGGTTCACAATACCTCGCTGGGCTGAACGCAGAAAGATGGCTTCTGTTTAATTTTCCAATCTGTAGAAGACAGAGGTTTCCAAACCTGTTTGGAAATGTTGTTTGTTTTGGTTTGGTTTTTTCCCCTGTCTGGTCTCACCAGCACTGGGAGAGACTCCCAGTCTCACTCCTTTTACAAATGGTATCTCATTAAAGTTACATCTGGGATTACCCAAGCTGGCTACAGCAAACCTTCTCCCAAGGACTAGCTGGGCTGCAAGGGGAATTGATGAACCTCCTTATGGAGCAGATCTGGGTAACTAGCCCAGCCAGAAGACTGGATAGGAAGCCAGCTTGTGAGTAACACTTCTTCTCCATGAGCAAGAGCAGTGACAGCTCTGCAGGCTGACTCTGGAAGGCTCCAGCTGCTGGCAGAACACAGCTCCCTCCTCCGCTGGTTTGCAAGCCCTCCCTCCCCAGACCAAGGCAGCAGATGAGGTAGCCAACGTCCCTTTCAGACAGGACATTTGCGTCTCTAATGGCAGCTTTGATCCCTAGGCTTAGCTTTCTTCCTCTCCACAGCTCGGAGAGCTTTTCTGCCTCGGTGGACACTCTGCTCCCTGCCTTTCCTGAACTCGAGAGAGGGCCCTGGGGAGGTCGGACTGGCCCCTCCATGCTTTCAAGCTTGCTGGGCTGTATCTCTCTGCAATCCACAGTCCCTGCACATAAGGGCAGCCCTCTCTTTAGTCTCACTGGCAAAGTGAGCTGAAAAGCAGGTGGGGAGAAGCATTCACACGGCACAGCCGGGTTTCTCCTTCCCAGCAAGCAGCATTTGCAGGGCAGCAGACAAAGTGGCTGACACTGGCCAAGAGCTCTGAAGGCACACAACCCTCTAGAAATGCCCATCATCAGTCCTGCTTGTTCTTGGCCCACAGAGCTTGTCGGTCTCCCACAAAAGCTAGGACACAAAAGCAAAACCCTTGCACACCTCCTGCCTCCCTGGGAACTAATGCTACACTTGTCCTCCTTGATTTAACTGTCCCCTGGAGCCCACAGAAAAATTCCAAGGCCTAGAAACTCCTGGTATGAAATGAAAACATAGGTCAGATATCAAGTGCAACCCCTCTCGGGGATGTACGCCCAACAAGAAACCCTCTCTCATTATGGTCATAATCCAGGTAAACCTGAAACAGCTGCTCTTGAGGAAAGAAGCAATACAAGGAGCTCCTTCCCAGCACATTGCTCCCGGGCAGGGCAGGGGCTGCTGCCAGCATGGACCCCTGCCTTCCCAAATTCCCCCCTCAACATGCCCACTTGTCCCAAGGCTATGTACGGGTCCATCTGGCACCTTCACAGCAAGAGCAGCTCTCTTTCCCGTAAAATAAATTTATCTAGAAGAGAAAAGGCAGCCAGCGTCTTCTCCCTGGCAGAGCTTGCAGCAGGCAGCAATATTGCGACATATCTCCATGTTTTATAATGCTTTTTTCTCTTCTTTTCACTCATCATAAAGCAGACTTCATGGGTCATCAGCAGGATCAGGCACTAAAACATGGAAAAATTTAGGAGGAAGAGACTTTGGATGTCTCTGGTCCAACCCCTCCACACAAAATGGACAATTTCAAAGTTAAAACAGATTGTGCAGGGATGCATCCAGCAGCACATGGCCACAGACTGGTGCAGACTTGTGTCTGCTCCAGGCAGAGAAGCTACTCCAAAGTGCTCATGTCTGCCCCGGGGCCTTTTCAGTAAGAAGCACTTGGAGACACAGGCTGCCAGACTTGTGCCAGCCAGAAGAGGAAAGGTCAGCATGTCAGTGATGCTGGCTGAAGTGGCTCTTGTCACAAAGTCAGGAACAAGAGTCTGATTTTTTGGGTATGTTGTGCTACATCTCTTTGTGTTTCTCTTTCCTGGAAGAACTAAAGGTGATTGCTGGAGCAGTAACACAGAAAGGGCACGTCCCAGGGTCATAAATGTGATGATGATTCGTGTTTATGAAATATAGTGACCTTTAATACAAATGTATGTGTTGTAAATGTTTTATGATGTATATAAGTTGAAAGAAAAGTTAATGTGGTTTTATCTTTAAATCGGTTTGAGGCTTTGCAGTCTCAGACTATGTAATGGCTGTGTTGGTGTTTTGACTATGTTGTTACTGCATCTAGTGGAAAAGTACCAGACAGACCCTTGTATCAGGCAGACCCTTGTTTTGATGGAAAAGTACCAGAAGGACCCTCATTTTGGTGGGAAGAGGAGCACAAAACCACCAGAGAACCCTCCCTCAACACCACCAGAGGAACTGAGAGGATTTGAGAAATCTCCACTACGCTTGCATGGACTAAACCCACCCATCTTATGAATATGTATTAGGAAAAGACTCAGTCTAACTCTGTTCTCTGCGTTGTGATGTTTTCTTGCAGCCTGATACTGTGCCTCCTCCAGCCACTGCACATTCTGTCACTGACTGTGGGGCTCTCAGTCTGAATTACATGATCTTGGGAAACTTCGGCTGTTTTCACATTTCTCTGTGGATGGCACAGGTCCCATTGACTCCATCAGACCATCCACATTCCCTGAACCTCCAGCTCCATTAAGTAATGAGAGGGCTACAGCCTGGACCGTGCCAAAAGAACCACGTTTCAGCTTTCCCCAGCCAGGCCTGCAGAGAGATGCCCGTGCATGGAGGTTTTTTGATAAGACTGCTTTCATGCTCCTCAGCAAGCAGCCTGAGGGACCACAGCGTGCAGTGAAAACAGATTTTGTTTGAGCCACTGTTCTTTTCTGCCTTTGGCAAACTGGGTGCTTCGGCTGTCATTGTCAGCTATTCATTTGCTTAGATATAGTTCAAAGCCCACTGGGAGCAGGCTAAAATGGTAGTAAAACTGACAAAGAAAAGCATGGCCTTTACCTTGTTCTTTCCAGTTTCCCTCAGACAGATCTACCATTCTTCTCCCACTCTGTATTAAAACAATCTGACTGTCAACTGTGTGCTTGAAGGCAATCGATACTTGCACTGCCCAGCAGCTGCCAGAGGGTTGGGGTGCTCTGGGGACAGATTCTCGACGTGCATTCCCCGCCTGCTCACTTGGTTTGCCTTCCCTCACTACTTTGCTGATGGCTTCATCCTCTCATGGAAGTTGTTCTAAACTGTAATGAAAGGGCTGGTCTGTAAAAAAACAGGGGAAAAGGCAAATCCATCCAGCAAAAGAAAATGCTTGAACATAAACATCTAAACACCACAGGATTATGAAGCAAAATCTCTTCTCAAAATTGTCTGACTTGTTTTCCTCCCTTCTCTGAAAATGCACCAGTTTATAAGTAACAGATGGTTGAGTGGCTGCTGCAAATCTTCATCATGTCGCTGCGGTTTGAGTGATTTTAATA